ACAGACTTTTTTTCGCTACTGATGTGTTCCTCGATCAGTATATAACCATTTCTAACATACTCTCACTCAACTAACAATTTGCCTCGGGATAATTAACTCTAGTGTCGACGTTTTACACAACACGCTCCTAGAACGCTATGTACGGCCTGCCATGTTCTTTGAATTTTTCAAAATAATGTGCTTTATTTATATCTAAAAGCAAGAGATTTGACCTACGCTTTTCTAAATCAGTTATATTAAAACTAAAATCTAATGGCACAGTTATTCTTGTCTGATTAATAATAAGCGTAAATTAAACTAGCAAAAATGTCTCTCACTGTTTCTAAAGGAATGCCAAAAATATCAAGCGCTTTATGTTATTAGATAATTATGTTTCTGACAAATCTCGCATTTTATAACAGTTAATGCTGTTCATTCTGACATCTGTTCCAGAAAAATCTTATGAATAAAGCACTTGTATTGTGAGACCAATATTTATTTAATCACACGAGACTATTTTTATCCATAACTTGTGTTACCAGATGTCCGGGTTAATCCGAACAGTCTTACATTAGTTATTACTGTTAATAAAAATATTAATAATAATCAAAACAAGATTGTCGTTATTACTGTTAATAAAAATATTAATAACAATTGAGAACATAATCTATGTTCGGGATTGGAAAATTGAAATTAAAAGTTCTGGATTGAGTTTTACGTATCTACAAAACTTGAAGAACTGTTAACTGATAGAATGGAGGCAAGGCTTATGTATAGAAGACGCTATTTAATGCAGTCGCCGTTAATCTTATTTAGACATTCTCAATCGTGTTTCAAGATGATTAGACATAGTTCCCTCTTCTTCAGGAGAAAAAAATATCTGCAGTTTTTTTTTTGTTTTGCTTTGCTGTTTAAAAAAAAATATTGAAAACGTGTACTGCAAAGGGTTTTTTTTTTGCCTAATTTAAAATTTTATTTTTGCGTGCTATCCTTTAGTGAATGAGAATTATTAAAATTAGGGGTATACTACTGGTCAAATAATTTCCAGAAATTTTATTAAGATTTCATAAATGAACTACTGCGTTAAAACACTATGAGCAGTTCATAAACAAATTTTTACATTTTCTTAATTAAAATTCTGTAAAAGTGCTTATCTATATATTCTTTTTTGCATTTATATTAAATTAGTTATACTCCATTTACTGATTTGAAGGCTATTTTTTCTCATCATTTAATGTTATGAAAATAGCCTTTCCGAATATTATTTTCGAATGAAATCATTTTTTGAACCATGGTGTACAGTTTCATTAACACACCACTTCTTCATTAATATTAAAATTATTCAGATTATGGCAAAGCATTCCAAGACTATCTGCCTAAAGGCAGGGATCATGCAGGGAAATCAGCTCGTATTTACATTACACACGGCGAAACCTTAAAAACTCTCGTGCCTTAACGTTTTGCCGTATTTGTTAATATCAACTTTAATTTATCACACAGAGTTGTACAACTACCTCAGTCGAGTGGGCTGGCTGCATGTTGGTTTTCTTTATGTGTAACGTTAATACAAGCCACTTTCCCTTAAAGTAAAGGGCCCACAAGCGGCCGAGCGGTAAAGTAGCTGAACACTGGTAGTTCGGTCCGAGGCTCGAATCCGGCGAACGGGCTGGCCGCATGGGCGCCTTCGTGGCTTTCCCCATGTGTAACGTGCATACGAGCCAATTTCCCTTAAAAAGTCCTCCACGAAGGCATCCCTCCCCTTAGGCAGATATCCCTAGTGTACTTTGCCATAATTAAATAAACTAAAACCAAACCCTTAAAATAAGGTAACTAACTATACATCCCGAATATTCTGTTCCTGTCCCGATTTTTTACAATCCGTTTTTTGGTCCCAACTTTATAGCATTTGTCCCGAAAAACAGTAGTGTGAAGAAGTAAAAGTTTAAATGCATATATTTATTTAAGTAGTGCAGATTTCAAATTGAAAATACAAACGTAAGTTAAGAGACGCGCGTCATACCGGCGGCATAAACAGGGGATCCCCATCTACCGTTTAGCTTAGAAAAATTGTATTGGGGGGAGCTCTATTTCTCATTCCTTTATTTCTCTTCCCAACCCCCAACAAACACGGAATTTTTGCTCAGCTCACAGTTGCAGTTCAGACTTTCGTTTACAGACAGCACTACAATTTTAAATTGATATATTATTGTTGAAGCGGCATTTTTGCATACTAAATTTAAGCTATGAGCCGAACAAGGAATATATGCAGCTTGATCATTTTTTTTTTTTTTTTTTTTTTTTTGGCAAATAATGGATTTAGCTGGGTTATTTATAACACAAAATTCTTTTAATATTCACTGATGTATTCCGAAATTAAAAGTTAAAAATCATAAGTTTTAAATAAATTTCTGAATTTTTGATCGAATGGCTAATTAGGCGCTCCTTCTATTTGTTCACCTGAAGCACGTGCCTCACCTGCCTCACCCTCGTCTCGGCCCCGTATGCAACATGTATGCTATCAATTGTTGATGCAAAATAATAGAAATAATAATGTCCCTTTTTATTGATACACGTTTTTTAATTCCAATGCTTTGCTTCTGAATTTTGCGTTTTATTATTGTTTTTCGGAGCATTTTCAGTTTAGATCAGTTATGTTTAGTAATAAACTTTCATAATTATTTCTCTATAATTATCTTACGATATTTTATAAAATACTCATTTTTAAAGTACGAGAGATATATAACAATCGCGCAAAGATGTCTTAAAAAGAAGAGAATGCTATAGAGATATATTAAATAATTCTTTATTATATATTTAAAAAGCACATAGTTACAGCAAATAACAGTGAACAAAATAAATGAAAATACAATTTCCAAGCTCTTGTGAAAGGAATAAGGCCACAAAGAGGTCTTTTTGATATTGATGAAACATGTAAAATTTCATTTATAATTTCAGACCTGTTTATGATAACATGTATATTCATAGTGGTATCATTAAAAATCGCTAGAAAAATTTGAATGTAGATGCACACAGATTTTCAACTTTCTTGTTTTTAGGGAATAACAGAATGATTAGTTCACTACGTTCTAAAATATGCACAAAGGCTCAGATATAAAACATTAACCTAGATATAAAACATTTCCGTTATAAAAGGTAATTTTTATAACTTGTTTTACTAAAAATATTTAAAACAGTAATTTTAAATTTCAGAGTTGTACTATATATACAATTAAAAGCGAATAAATTCCTATAACTTTCTGGCAACTCAAAAATGTACTTTTGTATATACAAGTCATCCCAATAATGGTGGCTACAGATTTTATGTTTTTTCAAAGTCTGATAATTTAAACTAGACACTTTTAGCACTGAGAGGATAAGGAAATACAAAAATACAAAAGTCTAAAATTTCATATGTCTTTCTCAAAACAAAATTTTACAATCGCGAAGCTATTTATTATGCTTTAGAGAGTTTGAAACAAAACGTTTTATACCTTTGGTTGCGAAATTCACATACATATTTAAGAATAACTTCAGCCTTTTTTCTGTCCTTCATATCACCTTGAATTTCTCTGATAGTTTTGAATTTCAGGAGCAGGTGTGAAATAAACGACGTTCGCTTTGGCAGTTAATGATTCCATTTTGATTAAAACAGCAGTCTTTGTTAAATTGGTGCCTGGCTTCCCAAAACTGCATACGATAAACTGGACTTATTTGCTCTACAGGACCATATGAATGAAATAAATACTGGACAGTTGACTTTACGTCATTTTCGTTATCTGGCTTCCCAATAATCTGTACTTTACATCTAAATCCTTAAGTGTACAGCACATGTCTAAGTGTTCAGCCGTCGTGGGTCGTCCACTATCAGAAAGGGTACAAGCAAGACAGACTACAAGGAAGAAAGAGTACGAGCATGAGAATCACCAATGTGATGGTGAAATACAGTCAAAAAATGAAACTCAGCCAGAGCGACTCTTCTTGGAATGTTCTGTATGCAATAACTGGATGTAAGAAGACATTCCTAAGATTTACCATAAGCAAACATTTTCAAATGTTCTTTATATTTAAAAATATCTTTTATCTATAATTCAGCAGTATGAAATGACACAGGAGTTACTGGTTTTTTGGATGTTGCTTGTTTCAGTTTTCGCCGAAAGGTCAGCTAACAATATAAAAACTTACATTTTTAATTTAAGTATCTTTCCTAGACCGCAGTATTGAAAACATTTTCGTAAAATCCTATCTCAAATCAAATTTTGAGAAATTTCATATTTGTAAGTAAGATTAATATTTAAAGAAATAAAATCTTTAACCACCTTTTACAGAAATAGCGTCAGTTATTCCATCAATAATGTTATTGGCACAAAACAAAGATTTTATAAGTGTTTTATAATTTTGCAAAGTATTGGAAAAATCAAGAATCTGAAGTCTGAACTAATAAGTAATGAATAATACTATAAATGCAGGGGAATAAAACATTTGTAAGCAAGTTTTTATTAAGCGTATCATGACCAAAAGGATTAAACCCCGCATTTCGGTACTGACATTGTTTTCAAGGCATTATTAATGTTCCTAAGAATATCACTGCAGCACTGTATCCCGATAACTGAAAATATATGTTTCAGATTATATCATATCATATAAGGATCACAGAACTTATTAAGATTTAGATTCATTATTAAAGATTTTGAACCAATTACCTATGAAAGTACTTTCAATTTATTATTTACTAGTTGAAAACAAATTTTATTCCTCTAAAATATTCTAATATTCTTCATTTTGGAAATTTGTTAATTTTACAATGCTGAAGAAACAATAAAAAATTAAATATGGTTCATTTTCTTCCCAAACTTAAGAGATGAGGCACTTAAAATAGTAAATGCATTCTTCTTGAATATACAAACATACACATACACACACACACACACACACACATATATATATATATATATATATATGACGACGATGATGAAAAGAAAGAAAGGACAATGGTAGACAAACATAACAATAAAAAATTTTCATCGTATTTAATTTAAAAGGCTTATTTCCAAAATATTCTGTTCATATTTTTCAAGATGCAATGTATAAAATACAAGAATACGTTGTATTAAACATTAAATTTGTTAAATTTCATCAGTTTGATAAAAAAAACTGCATGCACAGGATTCAAATATAATATCAAATCTTCACATAAATTCAAGCACAAAAATGGCATTTATAAAACTTTTAACTGCACTTTAAATTGATCATGATTACCATTTGGCGAAAACATCATAGGCAATTTAAAGGGAAAAACAACTGGACCCTTTAGGTTCTCAGACTCTATATCATTATTCTTCACATCTTTATTTAAATGGCAGTAAAACTTATTATTTACTTTGAATCTTCTTACTTAAAAATGACACGAAAAAGAATTAAAAAAATAATTTAAAATGAAAACGTCGCATTTTCCTTAACCAATTAAACCGTAGAAATAATTTCATAATTTTATTTACGTTATATCTAGTACTGTGGGTTTTCATTTAATATGTCAAAGAATTTTAGTATATATTTTGCATAATATGATATTAAACAGGATTAAAAACATATACTCTTCTTAATTTTAAGGCAGTGTTAGGATAAGTGCCGTTTTTTCTTCTTTTTAACTGCGTCAGTTTATATAGTCCGAACATAATATTTGTATTTAAATCATGATTACTTTCAATGCTTCTAAAATTCTATACTGATTAATCACTACTTTCCTATGACGTAAATAAGATGCCACAAGAAATAAAACAAATTTGGTAGAATTACCGTTACGACTTTTAGACATCCAAAATTTTTACAAAGATAATTTCTTTTTATAACTAAAGCAGCTTTTAATGACATTATAAAATTTAAATAAAATTATTCTTGTTCACCTGTAACTTCCGTAAAATTATTTGATAAGACACACTATCTCGCTAAAACTTATCATAAAAATTAAAATTATCCAGATTACATGCTAAATCTTTTGCTTTTAAGTTTCCATATAAAACGAAATTTCACGGTTTACCTTTTTTCTAAAGAACTTTACTTGGAGAAATATGATAAATTTAAGAAATAACACTTTAAACATAATACTTAACTTTTGCCACTAAAATGGATCTACCTTGATTTCTAAATGCAGTTGAAAATTTGGCATTTACGCTTTAAAAAATGTCACTGGAAATACAACTGGCTTTACGATGATCGACACTTAGGCTTTCAGGTAGGTAATTTTTTAAAATAATACTTTAAGCTCAATGCATACTTCAGATAAGGTCGATCTGATCCCATAACATATGAATCAATGTTCAATATATTGCTTAATTTAACTTCTATGCTAGTTGTAAACTATGATAAACTTTTCTGTTCTTTTACGAAATGAAAATAAATTATAATGGCATAAAGGCTCCTCCCCTCCAAAAAAAGAAAACATACAATTACCCATTTATTTGTCTCATAAAGTTACTTAAGGAAGATTTCCAATTCCCTAAAAATTCTCTAAAATGACGACGGTAAACAGATTATTTGGCCACACACATTGCCTCAACCGAACGTATTTATCAGCATATCACAAGGCAAAAAGTTGTTATTTGTGCTCTTACTGTTCTGAAATATATCTGCGTAATAAATAACGTCTGTTTAATACTTGATTATCAGTTTTTCACTTAAATAGTTCAGAAGAGTGATTATCGATATTGTTTGTATGAAAGTAGAATAAATCTAACATGTCCAAACAAATCATATATGCTTTTAAAGCGAAGAGTTAAACTTTCTGTCATCCATGGTCTCTCAAATATACCATCATGATCGTTAGATGATGATCTGTGTATGTATGATCGTTAGAAGTTTGACTAGTAAGGATGGTATCTTCTACTCTGGGCTGTAGAACACGTAGACTCTCGAAGACAGTGGGCTGGGTAATGACCAGGAAAAGCTGATGGTGGAGGCACATAACTGTGGGCAGGATATGCTGCAGGCAGGGGTATGGATGATTGTGCAGATGTGGACACAGTGGGATCTAACTGGGATGACTGCATGTATCCAACATGCAATGCTTGAGGTTGCATACGTTGGCACGAGGGATATGGTGATAGGCTAGATCTTCCCGAATGATGCAGCTGTGATGGAGTTTGCATGTGTGCTAAAGGCCAGTTTCTTTCCGAAGAAGCAACAGGTCGGTATCCAGATGCCAAGAAATCAGTTGTGTTTAAGTAGGTAGTAGGATATGGGCGTTTAAATGTTGGTGCAAATGATGAGCTAAATGAGGAAGAATTTCCTTGCGCAGTATCTTTAGCGGGCCTTTTCATTCTTTTCCTTCTGCGGAAGTTGTTGCCCTCGAACATATCATTAAAAGCAGGATCAAATATCCAGTAGCTTCCTTTTTTCTCACCTCCACCCTCTCTGGGAACTCTTATAAAACATTTATTCAAGCTAAGATTGTGACGAATGCTATTTTTCCAGCCTTCTTTACCATCATAATAGGGGAATGTTTCAAGCACATAACTATAAATCTCTTGAAGGGTTAGTCTCTTTGCTGGAGATTCCAATATAGCTTTCCGAATCATTGCAACATATGAATACGGAGGACGAGGGAGATTGTTTTTCTGTGTGCTACCAGAAGCCGTTGCTACATCTGCTGAGCCATTAGGGTTTGTAGAAAGTTTCAAAGGATCAATAACATTTGCTGTGTTTAGATTAGGAGGCTGAGAATGATTGATAACTGGCTGATGTAAAGATCTTCTTACTCTCTTTAGATTATCTTCGCTGCTTTCCGAAGGTTTCCTCTTTCTGTTCTTTTCTGCCTGACATTGCGACATGCTGCCTTTAGAAAGCTGTGTTGAACCCGAATTAGAATCGAGAACATCGACTAAGACATCGGTTCTCAAAGTCATTGAGTCACTGCTTGGGTGCTGCAGATCATCACCACCTGTATTAAGGTTTGCAATACTATTAGTGCTCTGAATAACGGTGCTACAATTAGATATCAGTGGAGCACTACTTGTTTGAGAATGAAGGGGAGAACAGTTATTCAAAGAAAGTGCATTTCTTATTTCACACACTGGTGGACTGTACGAGCTAACATATGTGCCACTATTCCCGCTCATACTCCGTGATGAGTGGTTATTCTTTCCTCGATATGGGTGATAAGGTCTCAAACAATCTCTTGCGTATCCTGAAATTAAAGAAGCATTTTATTCAAATATCAGTTACAAATAAACAACACTTTCCTCCATTTAAAATTATCCAAAAATAAATATGCATATTACATAAAATACTTTATATTATTTCAAGCAGACTACTTGAAAATTATTTAAATCTGAAAGCATGTTTATGATGAAAGCAATTATGTGTGAAGAAATAAATGCTTCCTTGTCAGCTATGATCCAGTTTATTTACATACAAATAATAATTAAATACATACACTGCTTCACTTTCTACATGCAAAACTTTTTTTTTTCATATTAATAATGGAACTACACATAATTTAAAAATATTTTAAAGGAAATTTATAGTTTTAAATATTTGTTGTATAAATGAAACACATGTTCAGACAATGACATGAGTATAAATTCATTAGGTTAAATGGGTGAGACAAGATACTGATGGTCAACCAATATCTTATCTCATTAAGCGAAAAAAAGTTCTTAGTAAAAAATCAATGTGTCATGTTAACAACCTTGAACCAACTGCTCTTCTTCAACCATGAATTTGAATTTCGCCAGAACAGTGGTATGTCTCTCATACACTCTACTAGGTATAAAAATTTCAGACGCTTTGACAGATTTCTATATTAGAGTTATCCACATTCACTTTTTGTTATTTTTCTGATTTCGTCTCCTTTTTCGGGTGACTATTAAAATTGAAAAAGACAATGATTCTTTTATCTGAGGTTGCATATTTCATATACTCTGAAGTACTAAGTGGGAATAATTTAGTGATAAAATTGTATTTGTTAATATCATACAAACTTCAGTTCACAGCTTAAATCATTTCGGCTTCGCTTTGAATCCACGTCATTTTAGTAAATATCACAATGAAACAAGGCACTTGAATGTTTTGGTTACCCACTGCATTAAAAAAATCATGCTTAAGCCATACGTTAATAGTGTATCAGCTATTAAAATTAAGTTGAAACGACAAAGATTCTGTTTTATAATGGGCTATCTACTTCACAACTGTCCGAAAGCATTCAATACGAGATCACCTGAAGACATGCAAATGGAAACTTAAGGAAAACTATTGCTACTATATACATACAGTACTCTAATCTTTTAGGTAATAAAGTTTTTTCTAAACTTTAATATGCTCGCTGAAATAGTATTTAAAAAATTCTTTAAGAATTTTTCCTTTATATTCTAAACTCGACGATTGAATTTATCAAAGAGTCTAATTTTAGACATATCTTTTCTCCTTAAATTAATAATTTAAAAGTGTGTTATTAGACGAGGGAACATCGATTTTTCCTTCCACTTGAACATTTTGAGGGGTGCTGTAGTTAACAGTCCTAATTTTAGTGCAGTATCAGAGGAGAAGTTTTAAAAATTGTGAGAATCAACGACCTACGAATGTTTAATGAATGGAATTTGTAGAAAAGTGGTAACTTGTTTTTTTTTGGGGGGGGGGAGAAGAAATAAAAATATAAATTCACATATGGACAATTTTAAGAGTAGACAAAATTACTTTCTTCTGAAAATTAAAAAATAAATTTAATCCAATCACTGAATGCATATACACGTCATCGTACGACTTCTATTTGCTTTAATTTAATGTTGTAATAATGATGGAAAAGTTTTAAATATTTGAATGAATGAAATGTGGTTTTCAAAATCGCCGATTGCCTGGAAGCAGGATTGTTAAAATCTTTTAAATGATAAATTATTAGTGCAATATCTGCGACATTCAGTAAAATGGGTATGTCGTGTAACTGGATTTACACGGTCTGAAAAACCTTCGCTTTAGGTTGAGCTGTAGACCAGCGGTTCTCAACCTTTTGACTAACGCGCATCATTCTAAACAAAAACTGAAAACCTTTAGTACCACCACTATAAAGTACTACTACCCCCAACATTCTTGAACAAAGCTCAAATCGCATAAATTTACGAGTGTTAGAGAAAAACCTCAATCAGAATGTTGGGGTTTTAATTTTTGAATTTAATAGTTAAAAATACTTTCCTTCTTTGCGTGCCACCGGTTGAGAACACCTGCTGTAGACCATATCGCTATCTTCGCTGTAGACCTTTTTGTATATGCCGGTTTTGAATTACTGTCACAGGAAGGTTCAAGATGTAGTAAGCAGATTTTTCCGAAGCCAAGGCGGGACAAAGCAATTTCAGTAACACTTTGTTCAAAGCATAAAATTATACTTTTTAAACAGTTAATATTCTTAGCTACAGTATTCTCAGCCGCTCTAGTGCTACAATGAAACTAAATTCTTGGTTAAAAATAATTTCGGTCTTCTGTGAGGGTGATCACCTTACAGAATGATTATCAGTGATGCTTAAACCGGTGTTTATTTACATTTATTTTGAAGAAAAATGATTTTAGCTCTGTGATTCGCGAAATTTGTCCAAAATGGAGAAAGACGAAAGTTTTCACATACAGATTTCATCCTGACAAAGCAGTAGCAAGCGACAGCTTAAGCATAAGTCTGAAATGCATAAGATATTCATTTCAAGAGTGAGTGAGTGAGTGAGAAATTATGGCGCAAAACCAAAGATGATTATAGTGCGCCAAACGCGAGGTAGGGTGAGTACTAATTTGATGAAATCAAAAATTTATCAATAAATAAAAACAAGTAGACAAATGTACCAAATCCAGAGGATGAAGTCATATGAAAACAAGGTTAAAAGCATACAAGTGGTAAAAGCGCACATTTAAAATTCAAGACACAATCTTCAAAACAAATTACATTAGGTGATAAAAGCCAGTCTCTTTTAAATAATAAAATAAATTACAATTGACCTCCCTTCCGATTAAACGGTCGAGAGGTAAGTCACAGCTATTAAAATATTTCTGACGAAGATTATTAAAATATGGACCCTCAATTAAAATATGACGGACAGATAGACAAACATTACAATTTGAACAAACAGGCTCATTCTCAGTTTTTAAAAGGTAGCTATGTGTCACTCTAGTGTGACCAATTCTAAGGCGAGTCAAAAGAACTTTTTCTTTACGATTTCCAGCAAAATCTCAATGCTCAATTCTAGGCTTTACATGTCTTAACTTGTTTTGACGCTGAACATCCCAAAGTTGCTGCCATTTTTTTTCGGATCCTGTTTTTCACAACACAACAGATGTCTCCAAAAGGGATGAGGCGACTGGACAGTTCAACAGCACATTTCGCCGTGATATCTACCAGCTCATTCCCTTTTATTCCCACATGCCCGGGAACCCAGCAGTTCAGGATTTCATATCCACGATTCATTAAGTTTACATGTAGTTTAAGAATATCCACTATTACTGGAATTTGAGTATTAGGAAAAGCTTCTAATGATTTAAGCGCACTATAGGAGTCTGTATAAACTATAAACTTTTTGTACCGGAGCCTTGAGATGTACAAAAGACTATAATATATCGCAGTTAGTTCGGATGTTAAGACAGAAAAAGCATGGTGCAAGCGTCTGCCCTCCATGTGGTCTTCAATTACAAATGCCATCCCGACATGATCTTTTGACTTGGATCCATCTGTATAAACTGGAAGATAACTGCTATATTTGTCCCTGTGCTCAGCGAAGAGTTGTCTGTAAATCATCTCGTTAGTGCTTGCCTTCACAATATTCATTTCAAGAAACTCATATTGTGCACATAAAGAATGGCTTCTGAAAAACCCTAAGATTTCTATTCCAACATTTCATTCAGAAAAACGAGTATTGTAACTGAATCAACCACACACTTTTAAGTATACTAGAAATAGAGAAACACCAGTTAAGAATTTTAAACAGATCATATTAAAAATTGTTGTGAACGAAAAACCGTGTAGGAAAAGCTTATTAAGTTGTAGAAGAGCTGTCATGCAACTAAATTACTCAGTGCATAACAGCTGAAAAATGAATCTGTGGTTCGAGTGGTAAAACTAAATTTGAGAAGAAAGAAATTTTGCTAACAACGAAATGTAATACTGCTAAATGTACGAAAAGTCCAGCCAGTCGATTAAATAGTAACCGAGTTTTTTTGAATGAAATACTCTAAACCTTCTAAAATGTACTACCCGACAGCTTCCTTATTTTGTGTAATGAAATCTTAAAATTTTAAGAGTTATTACGTCATTTATTAAAATGATGTTATACTCATTACCACCCCCCCCAAATATGTCTTATTCCGGACTATCCCTCTCAAAAAATCTGGTCATATTTCAGCCTTGGGCAACCGAACTGTTATAAATTATGATTCAGTATTAAATCTTCAGCTGCATATATTTGTCTGATGAATGATATGAATTCAACCGCTTTAATTTTCCTCAATAAAAACTTTTACTGCTATTTATACTCATGTAAAGATCCTAGATAGTCTTTAAATTCTCTAACCTAGAAGTTCTTTGTGAAAATAGGACATGTTAATTCTGCGTTTCTACTGATGACTGTAAAAAAGACAAAGGAAGTAAATTGAAAAAATGTATTGCATTGCGAAAGTAACAATAACCTCAGCTACGAAAACAACTGACTTATCTGCTACGGACAACTATGAGCAGTTAATGTCTGCCAAAGGCGATTTCTGACTCTTTTGTTTGTAGAAAATCACAATGACACCTTACATAGTTCTGCTTATTTATATTAGCAGTAAGCTAAATATCTTAACCGACTTTGATATATTGGGACTTTCTTTTCCTAATTTTTTTTTCACACGTCATCCTGTCTTTGTAAGCATCCTAGAATACGGCCCCTTTTACAATCAATGTAAAAGAAAAAGATACACTAGCTTGCATGCATGCACACACACCTGATTTTTAACAAAATGACTCTTTTTCTTTTAAGTGGCGTTGGGTATCAGGCGACATTAATGTCTAAAAACTGATGTTTTTTGTTTCTCTTTAAAAATTGTTGAAAGAAGTGAAATGATTTTGTAGTCAACCGAGTGCGATGTTAAATGGGGCCGAATAAGACAAAACAAGTCACGTTTATCAAAACCATAAGGCCACTGTACCCTACTACTTTAGTCAACATCGCTGATACG